AGCTTGTCAGTGTCATTCTTGGAGGACCGGGAAAGCTGCACATCGTGGCTTGGCACAATCTATCTGACTGATATGCTTCTATTAGTCTTATATGACTATAAATTTTAATCAGACTCTGCCTCTTACATGACAACAGAGAAAGGAGCATCCATCCATTAATTACCACCATCACCACTGCTTGGCATTGCAATCCTGCTAGGTGAAGAGGAGCCCTCTGTTGCAGGCAGAAGGTGATGCACACAAGCACAGAGAGGGCAGCTGCATGAGCGACACAGCTGTTAGGATGATCAGCACAGTTTTCTGCCTCTGCTGTTTCCCAGGGTTGAAAGTTTCCCACTGCCTCCAAGCCTGCAAAGCAGAGACTACCATATTATCACCCCTGTCTGTGCTGATAAAGGAACAGTTCTGGGTACATAACATCTGGAGTGTCTGTAAGTATGACACAATTTACAGAACTCCCTCCCTGGAAAGCTGCAGAGATGTAAACCAAAGGTTGTACTTAGTAACAAAACTCAGTCTTTCCTGTTGAAAAAATCTCCATGAAAAAATCTTTTACAATGCTGAGAGGTCTGTTTCTGTTACAGTGACAACAGCTGTGCCAGGACAGCTGAAGACAAATGGTCATTACACTGACAGAACTGCTAACAAGAAGGAAAAGCAGTTCTGTATGTATGCTGATCCTACCAGAGAAAGTTCAATTTTTAGGTATGATGTTGACTAGTTAGTTATTCAGTTGTCTGTACCCTGTGCTTGTGCAATAAAGGCAGGGCATGAGCTTGAGCGCTGTGAGTAGTGTCCATATTTTTATACAGATTAGCTGTGATTTTAGTGTGTGCAAGTTAGTACTCTCCCAGATGGCAGCTGGAAAAGGTCTGGGGAATTGCCTGGGCTGAAGGCCTTTCACAAAAGGGAGTTTAAGTACCACCATCCTGTTCCAGTGGTTTCATCTGATGATAGTGAGCTGTGCCGTGCCATGTAGCCTCAAGGCCAGACCACAGTTCCTGGCTCACTTTATTTTCTTGAACAAACATAATTGCTGATAGTAATGAAAAATATTTGGGATTATTGTTTTTTCAAGTCCTAATTATGATTTTCTTCTCAGTAGAGAAGATACAGCTCTTTTTATTTTTGTGTTAAGTATGAAACCCAGGTCAATGGTAAAATCTTTATTAGCAGCAATAATTTACCCAGGCACAAGTCATAAACTACTAACTTCTCTTTACATAAAAATTTATGAAGGAAGAGGAGAAGAGGCAGCAGTGGTGGCAAGACTGAACAATCATTTGGTATAGCAGAACTGGTGTGCCATTCTCCACTGCACAAGGAAGAATTAAATATATTATAATTCCTTCCAGAGGATTGCTAAAACACATGGCTGATAGTGGAAGTATGTCAGAAGTCTGTAAAATAACTAGACTGCAGAACTTTTCACTGTCTATCCAGTATAAGAACTAGAAACTGTCCAGTGGAACATTCAAGATTTGAATGGGACACAGTGAGAATTACTTCTTCACAGAACATTCAGCTGGGCTTTGGGGTTCCTTGACAAATGCTGTGTGTGCCAAAAGTTTGCATGAGTTCTACAGCTGATTGGTCAAATTCATGGAAGAAAATTCTGTCAAGCAATACTAATTTTGGAGGTGCCATCTCTGACTCAGGGCCACCTTGATATTCTGGTTGGTTAATGCTGGGTGAATATTCTGGGAAATGTCACAGATGTAAAATCCCAGGATATCTATTGCTGGTCACTGTTGGAAACATGCTATGGTACTAGACAGATCTATCACTATGGCTGTATTATGTTCTTCCTTGTCTGCTCTGCTGCTCCACCATTAAACCTGCCTGTAATCAGTTTTTTCCCAAATTTATTATACAGCTGGAGTCATGGGGACAAGAGAATCTTTCTCTGCCTTTCCTAAAGAAGACCAGAAAGTTGGGGTTGGGGGAGACTCTCCCTTTGGTGGCCAGGAGATGCAGGAAGAGGAGAAAAGAGAAACCACTTCACCCACAGGAAAGCTGAGGGGTATGAAGAGCTCTGTGTACTAGGGAGTCTTTGTCTTCTCCCTATTTCTATCTCTGTTCCTGAGCTTATACTGGCATTTGAATAAAGAGGAAGATATTGCTTCCTGTACCAAATGGCTGCTCTACTCTAGAGGGCAAATACATAGATCTCAGCCTGAATTGAACTTCATTCAAGAGAGGATTTAACCTTTTTCCAATGGGAGAAAATATTGACTGTGATTCACTCTCACATTTTAGGAACTGTGTTACCCAGCTTCTAATCAAAGAGCACTGGTTGCTGGGTACAGCGATCCCAGGACAAAGCTCAGTGTCTGATAAGAAGCCATATGAACAGGTGGTATCTTCTGAGCCTGTGTCACTGACTTGCTCCAAAAACATTACATTATGGTCTGATTTAAAGACGGCCTGAACTTCTCAAAGCTCTGAAGATGCTATACAGTGCATTCAAAATGAAATGGCAGAGTTACTCCCGTGTCTCAGACTCCCATTTCCTAGCACGAATATGCTTGCCTCATGAACAATGTCAGGCACAAGTGCTTGAGTAATTACACAAGCACAGCTATAGTTTTACAGGTCAGTTTGAACAACTGAACTCTAGCCATGGAAGAGCTACATGCTTGGAGAATCTCACCTTGGACAGTGGTAATATATACCTGAAGCCAGAATTACAGCTGTCTCATCTCCCAGACCAGAATTTCTGAGAAAAGAACTTCTGAGAGTGTTAAGTCAGAAAAACCTGATTTTATTACATTTTTCTTTTTATAAATTCTAAATGTTTTTAGAATATACACACTAGAAAGCTTAAATTAGAATGTTCATTATTTTTTTCCCCCTAATCTTTCACAACCCTCTTTGAATCACAGACACAAACAGTAGTTTGGGAAGCATGAAATTAAAACCTAATTTTCTAGACCTTCTATAGTCAGCAAGACTCCATTTCTCTAAAATAAAACTTCCTTCCTAATCATTCCAACTTCAGTACCTTGTTTCCTCCTTTTACAAGGGCTGCCCTTCAGTGTTTCCATCAGGAGGTGAAGAAGAAAAACTCTGACACGAGAAGGATTACTTACTTCATTGCCTAGTGTGTTTGTCCTAGGCTTGCATTTCCCTATATTATTTCCTTTCTTTCCTCCCCCCACCACCCTCCCCCTTTTCCCATAGGAAGGCATTCTATTTTCGTGCTAGCATTGTGCTATGTTTGCACTATTTTTACAGCTCTGTTTTGGTGCCCCAAATCTTCATGAATTAAGGAGGAAGTGGTTGACTGATAGTAAGAGGTTTTTTCTTCTCGTTTTCTGAGAGATTTTCACCAATACTGTGGACTGCTCATCCAGGGGAAAAGCTAGTTACAGTAAATGCGGGGTGGTGTTTCTTTTGTATGCTTTCATTTTTTAATTAGATAATTCCTGTAATAAAACCAAATGATCTAACACATAGTGAGCTGATAACACAATCTGAAATTCTGCAAGTAGGATGTATGGTACAGGCCACAATGACGAAGAGAGAATTCACAATTATATTACAATTCCTCAGTGCACATTTAGAAAGATCAAAACTCATCACTCAAACTTTCCACAAATTTGTTTAAAAGATGCTCCACATAAAGTATGCTAATAAAGCAGTGAGACTTCTAGTCTTCTTTCTTCTCTATGTGAGTCAAAGAATCTCTCCCTTCCCTCTATCTTTTCAATCTTAGAAATGTCAGGAATGCAATATCCTGTTTCCTTTGGTTTTGCTGGGGGGCCTTGTGGGTGCTTTAAGAAATGTTTAAATGCTGAAACTTTAATAAAGAGTCCTGTTGTCCAAGAGAACCTCATTAGTCATGGACAATGAAAGACTATTAATAGCAACATCAACAATATGCAAACAAAAAGTCAGAACAGTGTTTAAAAGCTCTTTCTTCTCTCTAATGCTAAAGATCTTACTTTAGTCTCATGATAACCTCACTTTATTACTCTGCAGTCAGCTTTTCTGTTTGTAAAACTGTGATTTCTATTGTAAACACCCCTTCCCAGAAATTGCCTTCTGCTTTTGGAAAGATACCTCTTTCAAGGTTTTTACAATCCATCACAAAAAGGTAAAAGATCCTATCTGTCCCTTTGAAAAACTGCAATTTTCACTTTTGAAATAGTACAAGCTTTAAGAACTCTAGCCTTGAAATAACCCAGGCTAACAAGAATGATTTCCTAGTAAGTCAGGGAAGCATGGACTGTTAGGATTTTACTGTGGATGAACCTTTCACAGTAAGAAAATATGATGTTTTACTGCACACCCTTATTAAGGTTTCTGAATTGTGATGAAAAGGAACAGAATGGATTTGCTTCCAGATGAGAGAGAGGAAACACAAGCAGACTTACATTCAGACTACTTAGATGATAGGAAAAATTTTCTTTAAAAATAAATGTTTCATTGAAAAACTTAATGAATGTTACCAACTTGATAAATGTGAATACATGTCAGGTAAACTCATTAGGAAGAATCAAAGCTAACCTAAAAAGGAAGAGTCCATATACCAAAATGAAAACATAAAAGGGATGGAAAAGCCCAAATAAAATAGCTGCTTTAAGCAATGCAATCAAAGCCATTAGCTATATATAGCTCAGTGTCTCTTCGTCAGCAAAAAACAACTTAGAAACACAACCAAATCAATCCCTTCTTCTACAATGCAACATGTTTTTAATTAAGAAAGAATGCCAGGATGAAGGAGACCTTACAAGTTCAATAAGCTGAGACCATTCAGTTTTTGGAAGCGGGGGAAAAGGGTTAAGCTTTTCATTGTAAACTTCACATGTTTTATGTTATTACAACTATTTAAGCCCTTCCTTGACTTTCTGATCATGTCTTTTGACAGGAAAGGGAATATTTGTTTTGTCTGTTTTTAACTCTCAGGAAAGCAAACGAGAACTGTCCAGAAATGACATGATGCATTTACCAGAGAATGGAAGTATGAAATTCCCTTTCTAATGTAAAAATCTTACCTGGGTAATCATTCTTGTCTACATCTGAGTCTCCTCTTAGAGTGAAGCCAAATCCCGAAGGCATGGACTGTGAGGCCCAGGCTCCACTGAGAACCTGGGAAGGGTTTGGGTTTAACCCATTACTGTATCCATTGTAAATGAGCACTTTCCCTCTTCTGTCTTCTCCTGCAAATGGTGCACCAATAGCAATGTCTGCAGTGAAGGGAAAAAAAATTAAAAAAAATTTAAATAATGGACACACCTAAAAATTAACTCCCTGCAGGAACATACACACAAATTGCTACTCCTACAAACATGCAAGAACTTCAACATTCTGTACTTCTGTATGTATTCTAGTTTAAAGGCAAATGCACAAAATGTTACCAGTGTCTTTTCTGTGTCAAATTTTCATGACAAAAACTTATAAAATAATCCTATGAAGAGGTTATTTAATTATACTAAATAGCCAGTCCACATTGGATTCCTCTACGTATTTCCAGGGCAGCTAATTAGCCTTAATAAACCAAGATCTAATGAATGCCTGCTTTTACTTTCGTATTTTTGAACAGGCACAAATTTTCTTTGATTTCCTCTACCACCTAGTTAATAACGAACATGTTAAATAAAACTAATTTTCTTTTTCCAGATAACATATCCTATACAGACAAAAAACTTCAGCCCCTCAAACATCCAATGCTTTAGAATGCAAAAGAGAGCAATGGAATATAATGTTTTCATCTATACCAATTCATCATTTTATTGAGAAATAGGAATAGTACTGAGTCAGGAATTTCACAGCAGGTCTTAGGCTTTATGGAATTAAACAGTTCAATCCTTAAAAATGAGGTGTCATATCCAAGAAGCAGAACTCACAGTGCTCTCCTTAGTTTTTGTGCATGGGATGTGGAGACAATATTGTCTAGATTGAGATCCAACAGATACACTAGCTGCTGGCCAATAGGAAACAACAGAGGATATGTATCTGTAGTTCTCATTTTTAGGTTCTGATCTAGGAGTTGATGTTGGACTTTTTTAAACTTGAATTGAGCACCTGGACTGTAGCTTCACTCTAAAGGCAGAAATGCACCAAAGCTCTGTGACTGGCATATTCAGTTATGAAGACAAGATCTTTGGCTCTAGAGTCTTCTAAGTCTTTATACAGTGACAGAGAAAATCAGAAATCCCTTCTGCCTATCTCATCAGAATTCTGGAGAGAAGGAAGACCAACACTACCTGCCCAGAGTAGCTGAGGGTATCTGCTATTGTTCACAGGTAGAGAACAGGAATTCTCCACTGAGGTTCAGCTGTGATCAACTGGTGGGATTCCAGGACAAGCCAGTGATGGTACCCTCAGCAGTGACAATCCAATGGCTTCTACCCACAGGATGGTATTCATATTTCGTGCACTCTGAACCCCAGTGCAATTCTATGACTCCTGACTTGAATGATCCCTTGCACAGCAGCCACACAATGAGGACATTGCCCTAGAATCTAGTGGCGAGAGCATTATGAAAAACAGCCCTCAAGGTAGGTTCATTAACTTTTCCTTAGTGAGACAGCTATTCTAAAGGCTACTGTGCAAAACAGATCTTCCAAGAAAAGTTTCTTGATGTTTTAGATGCAGAGATGTCTGCTTTGAAGATTCCTAACGTCCTGGAAATAAGAAGTAAGGAAATGCATGCAGGAAAAACCAGGATGCTACTGACCATGTCTAGGAGGCTAACTCTAGGTGCTGAAGGCATCCCAGCTTTCTCAGGTAATCAAGCAGCTAGTTTAGTTGTTCTGTTTGCTTAAATGTAGGCTGCCAATAAACTTACATCAACATTTTGTTGTGTGCATGTGCTATAAGCATTTGAGAAAGAACCCATTATACACCTCTTTTTTTAGTACTTAAGTACCAGTGGAAGGCTGATTCCAAAATAGTACTTCTGTACTTGCCCAATTCTTTCATTGTTGACAAAATGCTTCATGTACTGATCCTCATCCAATTATCAAACTCTTTCAAGCATTTGAGGAAAGGAAAAACTCTGCTTTCAAAAAAATGAAACATCTTAACAAAGTAATTAAATGTTATTATAGTTACAAAATAAAATATAATTTTATTCAACAAACATAATATGACCATCTCATCAGTCAGCTTTTCATGATCTGTCTCAATATCAGTTTCATTAGCATTAGTGTAAATTCTCATGAATTTCAAATATATTAAAAAGCCTTTTCCAGCACAACACAAACCAAATATTTGCTGCTTAGGCATGAGTAATTTCAGTGTTAGTGATACACTACATTACATACAAATTACCATTATAACCATCTTGATTGAGATCTCCAAGGTGTGTGATTGCACTGCCAAATCTGCCAAACACTTCAGTGCCTGTCAGAATTTGTGCATCTTGGAAGAGGAATGCACTTTCTTGTAGGTACAGATAAACTTGCCCAACTTCTTTAGGCTTGCTCTCAAATTCCCGTTCCATAAAAAGAGGGGCACCAACTAGGATATCATCTAAACTGGAAAAAAACAAAAGCCAATGTCACTGAGAGACTGAGTGTAAATGACACAGTTTATACATTTTCTAAACAGGAAGCTGATAATTATCATACAGTCAGACTAACTGAGGTAAGAAGGCACTTCTAGTCCAAATACTTGGTCAAAGCCGTCAATTAGGGAAGGCTGTCCACAGCTATACTCAGTCCAGTTTTGAATACCTCCATGGATGGAGGTGCCACAACCTCTCTGGGCAACTACTTCCAGTGTCTGATCATCATCCCAGCCAAAATGTTTCCTTATAGGTTTAAATGGAATTTCTTGTACTTCAATTCATGCCCACAATAGACAATGAAAACTTACACTTTGCAATTGATGATGCTGAAGTCAGGAATGAAAGAGTGAATTTGTGTCACTAGAACAAATTCTGTAGATCTGTTTCACTAACAGTGCTAGTGAGAGACAAATTTTTGTACAAAATCTAGTTTTTGTAACTTGAACATCAGTAAGTGACCAAAGGAAAAGACCCTGACACTTTACAACAGATTATTGTGTAACATAGGTGAAACACAAGTAGAGCATCAATTAAGAGAATGATCCCAGAATATTTAATTTGGAAAACATATTCTCTTGCTCTAATGTGAATTTTTTTTCAAACTTGTAAAACTCACAGAAAACTTTCTATTCTCAATTTGTCATATTTCCAATACGACACTTTATCTATTAGGAAACCAAACAGTATAATTGCACTACATTGTTTTTTCCTAATCCTGATAGAAAAAAAAATCTGTATGATTATGTACACTATGATTCCAAGATACACACTGTAGGATTTAGCATAGAGTAATTAATCTAGAAAAAAAGAATTAATTACATTGTAGAATTTTCACATTCTATAAGTTGTGACAAAATACTTCTAGGCATGTTATTTTTCTACTAAGTTTCATAGTATGTTACCATAAAGGAAAGTGTAATTCCAAATGTCAGGTCAGTTTGGTATAGCTGTCCTATTTTTTGTGTTAGATTTTACCCTACGGCATAAATAACTAAAAAAGGAAGGAAGCAGATGCTGACTTGGCTTCAAAGGTGGGATTTTCCTTCCACACTGAACATTAAAAGTCTTCCTCTACTAAGTTTGTGGCTGGGACAGAATGTCAGCTGAAATGGTTGCCATGAAACAATAACAATGACAAAAAGAAATAATGAGTGATCTTTAAAAATAAGTTATTTTACATATGCCATGTACTAAAAGCATTATACAGTAGGACTAACGTCAATTCCTCTTTTAGCACCTCACAGTCCAGATATTCCCAGCATATTTGGACCTCACAGAGTTCAGTGCTGTAGAAACCTTGTAATAAAAGATGAGCTTGGCTCCCTCAAGTATTTTACAAATGAGCAATCATAAGACTAAAGGAAGATTTTTTTAGAGGTGATAAGGAACCAAATCAACGAAAGTCAAAAAGCTCCCAGTACACTGATGTAATAGATACCCAGATACCTTTAAAACCCTGGTCCATAGAGCAATATCTAGAGTGCCTAAAATGGTGAAAAGAGTGACACAGACTATCTATTGTGTACTAAAACTCTTTAAGCAGAACCCAGAACGTAAGATTCACCAGGTGATACAGAAAGCAATTAGACAGCAGCTGGAGCTTGTTGAACAGCCAGCACAGCGTCCCCACTAGAAGTGCACAGTGCTGGGTTATTTTTCTGGTAAAATTTCACCTTTGCTGAAATAAATGACAATTTATTGTATGAAATGCATGAACAGTCCAAGGAGAAGGGACCAGAATCTGGTAGCTAAGATGGCTCATCTTCTGATGTACTGAGGGACAGGTGGAAGGAAGACAGTCATCTAATATACTGACCTATTTCTCAACTGGTTATGGTAGCAGAGCCACCTGGAGCACCCACAGCACTTGGTTTGCCTTCCCTCCAGGTCTTCATATGTACTGCCTGCACCAAAGCCTTCCTTTCCTCACTCTCTTCAATTTTCCCCCTTCTCTTTCAGAGCTGAGCTCTGTAGATCAAAGCACACTGCTTCAGCAAGTCCTCTGCAAGAGGGAACTCTCCTTTAGGCAATTCTAGAGGTTTGGGATTAGAACTTGGGTTTTTTGTGCTGTCACAGAAGTGTACTATAGCTAGAAAGGAAAGATTTGTCAGCTACCCAACTCTCTCTGATCCTCATTTACTTTTGGTTCCTCTTTTAGTGGGTAAAATAAGCAAACAATTGCTGCTTACCATACTTTACAATCAGTTCTGCCTCCCAGCTTCTACAATTTAATTATTTAGATAACAAGCAGTCAAGGGGGCAAGGGGGAGGGTGTATGTACTTGTTGGGTTCTAAGTGCCTATGTGATTAGTATTACGTATTTTTGTTGGTGAAAGAGGATATTTCAGTTGGCCTTTTCAATTGTAGGAGTTTGTATTTACAAAATTGAGAGTTATGAGTCAAATTCAGTTTGATGTGATTACTTGAAAAAAGCCATATGAGTAAATAAAAGCAAAAGCCCCTGGACAGCAATATTAAACCATGAAATGCAGTTCAGTGGTATTTTGAACTGGTTCATTAGATTTCATTATTGCACTAAGACACTAGAGTTAACATAAATTATATATTAATTTTTGCTCCAGCACAGAAAAGTAACCAGCCATTATTACTTCCCTTCTGAAAAAAAAAAAAAAAAAAATCTTTAAAAAGTGCAAAGCTGACCACCTGCTGAGACTGTGTGCCCTTCCTTTGTATCCTGCAGAGTAATAAAAAGCAGGAATATGGGAAATGTCAAGAGGTCAAAGTATAACTACAGAAAGCTTTGATATAGGCCAAATAAAAAAAAAAACAGTAAACAGTTTATTTCACTATTTTTATTGGACTAATTCAGACTAAATTGAAAGTATTCTCTTCTCTCTTTACTTGGAATGCAGCCTGTAAGTTGATGCCAAAGCTTGATTTGTTGTTTCATTGTGGATTTCTCATTATTAGCAACAGGCAACTAAAGGGTAGTTCAAACAGTATCCTCAATTTCCCTGTTCTGCCTACAATCCTGATGTGGTGCAGATAAAACTGCATGAGTCACTTTGGAATACCCACAGAGCTGCTGGGCCAGGTCTGCTGGCTGAGCTTTTTCTTCCTAAGATGAGCCTATTCTTTGAGCCATATCATGAGTCTTATTACAGCAAAGCACCATTCCTAATGATCTTGTATTTTTTTTTTTCAGCAAATAACTTAATCAGGTTTCTCGTACTGGTAAGGCCACCACTACTTCCTCATCTTTAGCTGAAAAATATGCCTAAGTGAATTTGAAGTGTCAATTTCCCTTTTGCTTTTTCCCCCTCTTTTACTCTTCCTTTCAGATAAATATTTCTATTGATTATATGTGCAAACCAGCAAAGACAGACTACATATCTAATCAGACATGTTTATCAAGTAGAGCTTTTAATGTTTTCTTTTCTGTGGGATGTTTGGATCTCAGGAAGAGTCTTTAGATTTCTTTTAAGATATAGACTGGGAGACCACACAAGCCTCAGCAGCAGTTTGATTATATTATTGACATAAACTGTGGTTTTAGAGGTACACAGAAAGTATGAGACCTTCCAAGCCTATGGTTAACAGGAAATAACCTGTACAGGAAATAGTTTGGTTCAGTGAGAAGTTAAATTATAAGTTCCCTGAAAGTCTAATGAATGTCTATCGAACCTTAGATTAATGTTTTTCCACCCTTTCACATTTGTAATACATCAGTAGGACTAAATAAATTCTGATTCTGTATATCATAAACCCAGAAATTTTCAAAAGCTGTGATACTATGACAAAATTTGATCTCAGAGACTTGGAAAGATTTGAGTACTATTTGATGTGACCATGAAAACTGCTGAAGCTTCTGTTATTGTTTTGTTTTGTAACTGCAATAACACTTTACCACCTTGATACTTTTCTCTTCTCTTGTAAAACTCAGTCTTTAACAGGTCACTAGTCACTGATGAGAAGCACTGACTTAGCCCAGAAAATTTATTTCATGCACTATGTTTAAGAATTTAATAAGAAAGGATCACAAGAAAAAATATGATGTAGACACATCTGATGATTTGCAATAAGCAAGAGTACATTACATCTCTAAATATTGTCCTGGCTCATCTTTGTGCAGACTTCCAAGCCTCTGAGTTTCAGGGATCTTTATCTCCTTTTAGATAGCTACTATAAATATTCTCTTCCCAAAGTCCTCTTCTAAATATTTAATAAGACTTTACATGACTTGAAAGTTAACAAGGGTTTTGTTCAACACAGCCTGAAACCCCCAAGTATCATGACCCTAGGAGCATCATTATTCCTCTGACATCCACAATGCTTGCTGTAACAGCTATGGGACACAGACACTTGTTGGTCCTCAGGATGATAAAAATGGATAGCCAACCAGCAGGTGCTGGAATGAGGAAAGAAGAGCTGATGACACTAGAAGGCTTTTAAAACTGAGAAGTGAAGCTATGGATGAGAAGACTTTCCTGTGTTTGAGAACGGGACAATGAACTTCTGACTTTCACCTATCTCTTCCCCATGCTAGCTAGTGCAGTTTATTCACTGTTTTTCTACCTGGATCTGTTTCCTAGGACTCTGGACACTACTCTGACACACTGCTTTGAATAAATATTCAGATGAAAGGCCTGAAAATACTCATAGCCACTGTGACTGCACAAAGATAATTCTATGTGAACAATTAAAATTAGACAAGTAGAGAATCCAAGGGAAGCATTTTGATGTATGAAGCACCTGAAAATCTACATTTATTAATAAATATCAGCCATTGCTTCTATTAATGTTCAGGGGAGATCAATGTATTTGGTAACCTACCCATCATTGTTAACATCAGATACTGCAACTGTGTACCCAAAATAGGACGCCATCTGAAAATAAAAAGCAACATATAGGCTTTTATATTCGATATAAAATGTAAGGACTTTTCCTGATAATCCTCTTGGTTTTTATGGTCATTATCACAAAAAAACCCCATTTTATATATTCTTGAAACTATATTAAGGAACCTTGAAGCTCTAGAGATACAATATTTCATCTCCTAGTTGCTTTACATTACCTGCTCACCAGTGAAGTTCTGGATAAAGGTCAAGTCAGAAGAATTAATAATTGAGACCTGACAATGAAAGAATAAGGAAAGTTTCAAGCACATATGGAGATGCTACAGCATGACATCACTGCAAAAGAACTTGACGCACTGAAATATAGTCCAAGTAGCCAAGAAAAAACAGTTCTTTTTCTGTCTCAACAGTTGTCCTGTATGATCTTGAACAAATTGCTATGATTTCATGACCCTCAGGTTCTCCATGAAAAAAACAGGGAAAAGTATTTCCCATCCTTGCTAGATCTGAACAACAGCAAATCACACACTATCAACTAATCAGTGACTAGGCATGAAAGCAAGAACTTAAAACATAAAGAAGTATACATAGATACATAAATATATATACATACGCACCTTTTTCCTAAAAAAAAAATAATTAAAAACAAGCCCCAGAGACTCAAAGAATTTGGGGTCCACAAAACTAGAGAATGTGTCTGTGGCTGTGATCTCCTTTCCCAGTCAGGTTACCTGTGGAACGTTTCTCCTACAAATTAAAAGCTGCTTCCACAAATGTATATTGTTTTCTCCCTTCACTCCTAACTGCATATCATGACTCTTTGCACCTGGATTTCAGTGTATACACTTACAGCAGTGAAAGTAAACAATGGGTATGAATAATCTGAACTCAGACTCCTCTGCACTGTGGACACAGCATTGCACAAAAATATGCTAACCTATGGGTGAGCTTAGGTCTGATAACACTCAGTGGTTATAGGGATACTAGTCTGACTCAGACCATGTAATTGTAATTGTGATTGCCTATTGTAAAACAGACCTCAGAAGAGACTAAGCACTTACCATTCAAAACCCAAACAAATAAAGACATTTCAACCCACCCAGATAAGCCAGAGGATGAAAGTCAGTGGCAGTTTTCTCGATTTGAAAGTTTTGTATGAAAGAGACAGAAAATATAATGTAGCATTTCCTAGGACTCTTACAAAAAGCTTAATTGCCTTCTTATAAAAACTATAAAATGAAGATCCAGTACATACATATCCAAAGTTCTGTGCTCCCCTTGGGACTCCAGCAACCAGCTCTGAAATGATAAATGATCAACAGTGAACTGTGGCAATCCCACACCACTTAAAACTTCCTAGATATATATATGTCAAATCTCTTAGGATTTTGATTTGTGATCTGTATCAGAAAGACCTATAAATCCCTTCAAGCCATTATTTCATAAGACTGTAGCATTCATTCAGTTCATTTACTCGCACAAAATGTTACGCTCTGACTTTCAAATACACACATCCATGGATCTCTTAGCATTACTTAGCATTGCACAATACAACAAAGGTCTTGTTACAATTCAGCTTTGTACCTGACAGCTGTGTATTGATGGAATGAGAACTAGTTATGGCATCACATTCTAGAACACAGAAGCTATATAGGACTGTTCTTACAAATACCTCTTTTCTTTTTGCCTATCAACAGTTTATCTCATCCATTATTTTGCTTGATGCCATGTAAGTGCTTGACAAAATGAGTAAGAAAAAAAGAAGGAAAAATTGAAGTTCCAGCCTGCAGTCTTGCCATCTAAACCTTTCCTCATTAGCATACCCACATCAGAAGACAGCAGCAGGAACTTCAGATGACAGAGCACCTCAGCCACCTGCTTGTACTGACCTAGCCTTCCTCTGTTCCTCACTGGGATCATATACTCCCCTCTGACTGTGTTTGCTCAAGGGGAAATGGAAGTACTATCAAAGGCATGACACAGGATGAATACTAGAGCCAGCCAACTATGCATTATTTTTGTGCCAGTCATTCACATGACATACTGATTCAAAAATCATCCATTATAAAACTTTGAGTATGCATTAAAAAAGCAGCCAAAAATGTAGCCTTCCATTACCAGGGGTACCTCTTTTCACATATTATAGTTTGGCTCAAAACTGTGTTTTTTCATTTAATTTTTGAATCCTTCATAATGCAGGACAGGCAACTTTAACTTCAGAGGGATTAAGCAGCAGCAGTTCTAGAGCACTGGGTTTACTGTGGGAATGTACAAGGTCCCTATTGGCTTTGTGAGTCTAGACTACAGGGCTGTTCAGCTCCTCAAGAAAGCTACCTGTAGTAGAATTCAAATTTTTATTTTATTTTAATTCTGTCATGTTATACTGTCTAAGGAAATAATTATCTCTGAGAATACTGAGTGCAGATAGCTTATGTCTCACCAGTGTTTCAAATTGATAATAGGTATGCTCCTGTGTAGAGACCCAAAACAAAGAATTTATTAAGTGCATGGCTGTATAGTTTTCATTCGAGTAGATATGTGCTTACCTTGTTCAGAATCCCCAGTAAATTCCCCAGCAGCCACTGAGTATCCTGTTTAAAGATAATTAAAAAAAAAAAAAAACCCAACTCGATAAACAATTTCTTTCAAAAAATATGGAAGGACCAACAGATTTGTCTGTTCAATGGATCTGCTGAATGCAAGTTTTCTAGCATTAGTATGCTAAAACTGTGTGGAGAAAAGGAAAATGGTTTATCACACCACTATGACTAAATTAATGGTAGGTCTGAATGTATAAGAAATTGATCCCACTTCTCAAAAAATGAGTTTCTAAATTAACAATGCTTACTATTAATCTGAAAAAACCACCAGGTATGGTGTTTTTCCCTAACTGCTATTGACACAATTCAGGTCTTCTTTATTATACTGTTATGTGTGAGTGTCCTGGCTGAGCCTTCTATGGAAAACAGATTTCTAAAGATGGAGTAAAGCTCCTGTAGCTTTAGTAAACCTGTGAGATAGCTATTACTGTCACAGTAAAGGACTTTTGCATTCTATCAGGAATTTTAATTTCAAATCTATGGGCAACAGTGCAAGGTCGTGCCTTCAAATTCCACTGAATCTTTTCCATAACTGTGTGAAGAAAAACCTGCTTTACTTGCAGAGACATGTGAATATCAAGAAAATTCTTAGAGATCAGTACTAATAAAAAGTAGATAAGGAGCCTTATTTCTATTAATTACATATTATCTTCTAATTGACTTTTGTTATTGCTTACTTCAGTTGTATCTTTTAAATATGAGTGAAAATAAATTGGATATTTGTGTAATACAAAATACCACAGAACTGAATTTGAATTTATCTAACAAAAATTGAAATTGTCTTTAATTACATTAAGTTCAACCTATCATCTTGCAATGGAAAAATACATAAACGGAAAAATTTTGTATTTCTGCTTAATTATTTAACATCAAATAATAAGGACCCTAAAAAGCCATTTAAGATATCAAACTTCAAACCCTGTTGTTGTGCATCATTTTAGGAATGTTAATAATCTCACTGAAGTAACCAGCAAGCTACAGATTTGCTGTTGTGCTTAAGGCCAGAGATGTTCAAATCCTCTCACAGTTGTGACAATAGTAATGTAGGGCTTGTTTTCATATTTATGTAAGACTCATCCTTTTAGACCATATTGCTAACTCATATAGAACTCATCTTACCCATGTAATTGTCATCATATGAAGGTGGTGCCACTCCTGTTTGCTTCTCTCGTGCCAGTTTCCTCAGAATATCCTTGAAGGAATAATTTGCAATGATGTCCGCAATACTTGCAGTGATTACCTGACCTGGATTCAAACAGCTTCATAAATGAAAGGGACTAAAAGAGGGCCAGATTCTATAAAACAGGGCTAGCATAACACCAGAACAGAGCAGAAAGGACACTAATACAGCCCAGATGCAAAGAGTACATAACTTATCTCAAGCTTTCTCCATTATTACCCTGGAAGTCTCAAGAGTACACCACATAAATCAGTAAAACAAGGGACTGAACCTCTATTGAACAATTACAAAAACACCTCCAGACCCATTTCAATGTACTAATTCAAACTAATGTCACTGCACTGTACTAATGTAGTAGACCAATGAAAGTAATTTCTCAATGGAGAATTCAAAGCTATGAACTCCCTACAATCACAATCAATTAGGTCTTCTTTAAAAAAAATGCAAAAACACACATCAGAGAGGCTGACAGTGGGCATGCTGGTAGGCAGAGGCTGGGAGTCAGCTAGATCATACATGTAAGAACACATTACAAAAATAACCTCTTAACCCTTTACCAAAGCAATTTCAGCATTTATCTACACGAGAAACTACATCTTGGAACCTACATTGACGCCACAAATTAACTTAAAATATGTGTAGATAGCTAGAAAAAGTTGTGTTAAAAAACAGTAACAAAGATTTTTAAAATAATACATTTGCTCTACAAATACTAGAAATTCTTAAACTTTCAGTATTTCTGTGGAAAATTTCAACTTATTAATTAAATGACAAATATACTAAAACGCCATCATAAAAATAGCTATTTGTATTTGTTTAACGTCCTATACAACCTACATCCTGGATTTTCGTGGCTTATTTTTATGCTCAGTTGCTTGTTAAGCAATTTATTTTGATTTATGTTTGTTGAAAATTACGTTAGAGACTGGTTATATTAAATTGACAAAACAGTAGAAATCTAGAACAATAAGACTTTCTGCATCACTTCTTAGATCCAGTTAACCAGCCAGATGAACATACCTTGCCAATAAAAACTACCGGGCCCACCTACTATCAGGTCTCCATTCTACAAAAAGCAGAATTAAATAAAATTATACAACAAAAGAACACAGTAAAATTAAGCATGCATGGGGAAAAAAAAAACAATTTAAATGACCAAAATAATATCAGAATCATGATAAAAGGAAAGGATGTAGGTGCAAGGATGTGCAGGAAAATCCACAGTTAAAAAAAAGTTAATCATCCTATGCATCTGCACTTGAATAAAAGCCATTTATTTTACCACTAACATAACATTTCAAAAATTCCTGCTTATTTGTACCAAAACAAAGTTAACAGAAAAAGAGAATGCTCACATTCAATGAAAGGACATTAAGGTGTTAAAGAGAATTATACAAGGCAGCTGCAGAACTCTCCAAACAGTTGCAATGGTCAGTTACCTGAGGCTCTGGTTCTATAATAAACAACAATGCACAGTTTATCCTTTCTCCCACAACATTGTTTCTGGACCCTCTTGGCATTCAAGAAAATCTAGCTCTTTCCCTTAAGCACTTTCACCCTCACATGGGAATGGTTTTACTCAATGACTAGTCTGCCACCGAAAGCATCCTTATATAGGCTATTTTAACTTTTTAAAACTAGCTGGTGCATGCCCCAGTGCTTCCTGAAAGTCAAGTAAAGCATTTTAAGTGATGAGAGACTGAGGCAGAAGGATATAGAAGTTTTTGCTTAATTATCTGTTGAGGCAGACTGAGACAGATTGGAATGCTGCAAGGAGATAAACAGGTGCTGATTATTTCTTTTTATTAATGAAACAGAAGAGTCTGTAGCTTGAAAAGGAGGAAAGAACTTGCAACAACTTCACAAAACTTTCCATATCCAACAGCATGGAGATAAACTCATGATCACTGAGACAGCACTTGAACCCTGCAGATATATCACAATGACAATTGGTCAAAATACTTCAGGAGCAGAATCTCACCTTGTAAAAATCTAAGCTGAAACCGGCTTGACAAAAGCCTTGTCCTTCAGGATCTGCATTGCCTGCAATTATGGAAGTAGAAGCATTTTATTGATTTTACAGTGCATGTGTAAGATAACACAGATACTCATAGCTGTAATGCTATGAAATACAATACTGCCAGTATATGTGAAAATATGTATACTTTTTTAGAAGAAGCAGAGCAAATCAAGACCTTCTACAAGATCCTAATCATGCAGTCCCTTGTGAAGATTTAAAAATAGAACCTGCTACTTGGGACTTTCTCCTCCCACTGCCAAGAAAGGACCCTTGAAACAACTATCAGGGATTCAGTTTTAATTTAACTGGAGATAAAAAAGTAAAAACCTCAGCAGGACTGTAGAATGCTCATCACAGTCTGATCTGTCATAAATACAAAAGAAAGGTGTTGAGGTGTTCTCAAAAAATCTTGACACAGTGTAAGGGTCAGGACGGGTACATGGAAAAAACCAATGTTCTATGCTGCTAACTACTTTGATTTCTATTCTCCAAATCCTTATATAATTGTGCAAAGTGTGTTTGCATGCATCTTCTGGCAATTCTATGTGCACCAGAGTGCCTGACGACTGCAGGACTGCAAAACTGAGAGTAAGAACAGCCACTTGAACTCTCTCTTCAAATGGCATAAGCCTTTGACAAAGCCCCAGTGAGACATCAGTAAGTACATAAACCAGATCTTAAGGTCACCATTTCTTACAGATTCAGCTTCTTTCTGTTCTGTAAGATAGAACACTGCTTAAAGCCCTACTACAATAAGCATAGAATGCTGAATAAGATGAATGACTGATAATAACCTAATGTGTCGTATTTTCTGCAGAATTCTAGGTAGCTGAACCTGGTTCTAAATATACATGTGGTTTATCCCTATTTCCCAACAAGCAAGGCCCAGAGATGGCTACCACATCCTCAGAACAGCACAGAGAAGAGTGTGGAACAACGGTGTTAGTGTTCATGGCTTTCTTCCATGCTGAAAGCTCTTCACAAATGAGCTCTTGTGGATATTAGCATGAGTGACGATACAGGCTTGTGTGTTTCTATGCAGGGTCTGATCTTCAAATTGTGACCTTGTGATAAGACATTTATACTCAGAATAAGTATGAATAATTGGTTTAATATGCTGTCTGCTTCTTATCTAGATCTGTTTGCTATGTTTTAAAGCCACAAAAATTGAACCAATTATAGCTCATTACTATAACTGCACACACTTAATTGACTTAGTTTCTCCTCTTTCAATCAATTATACAATAAAGCATCCAATTGTAGGCATATAGTTTAATGTTAATTTTCCTTTACATCCTCATTCAACGCAATAGCATCATATAGTAACCTTCATTCAACCAAGACTCAGTGGTGTGAAGAATTGACTGAAAGAATGAAAACACTCAGTGCAAAACCAATTCCTTCAACACAGACTGTTCATATTAATACATACTGTTACGACAAGGTGAATATTCAGCATAGGCACTGAAGTTCTGAATTGCTACATAGCAGGTGCCAACAGGGTCCTTCTCAGGGCTGTCTTTAAGGGTTCTCCAATGATACAAAGGAGCACAAGCCTATAAAAACAGAAACACAAAATGGAAAACACATATACTTTCACACACTCTTGCACCTGGCAAATGTAGTTTTTAACAGGCTGTGTACGAGGATTCTCTCTGGCGTTGTATCGTTCATATAGCAATGATCACAAGATATTGACAGAAGAAAATGCAGAACCACTGCTTCATATAATTTTATTATAACCTGAAAAGCACACTGATGTTCCACTTATAGCCCTTGGCAGGTGAAATCTGTCAGGGATAACAAGTCACATTTAAGCCATGTTACAAATACCCTCTAAGTCTGCTTCACAAGTAATGTATTTGCTCTATTACTGCTCATTGCACAAGAGCTGAACCCATAATTTAAGATGCATATCACATATATGTGGCTGAAGGCAATCCCAGTTCTGTCCTGGTATGTCCTAAGATAATGGGCATAGCAGCAGAACTGACCCCAATTAGCTGGAGATTTGTCAGGTTGTGGCCATATGCAATCAATATATAATTCATATAATCAATCACAATCATCAGAGTATCTGCCTCCTTATAATCCCCTGGTTCAAATCTTCATAGATAAGATACAGTTATAAGGCATTCAACAGTATAAGTGAAGAGTTTTTTGCTAAGGAAGTTTTGGCTAGGTATTTAATCTTCCGTGTTACAGCAGTTGTGTTACAAACATAAGAGAGCAAAGACAAAAGATACAGAACATGTGTAGAGAGAAGCATTATCTTTTTTGAAGAGAATCCAGATAATTAGAAAAATAAGAACAATAAGCTCTCAGGTCTGCAAGTCATTCCTCAGAGTTTCCTGTGCCCTGAAACTTTTCATTGTCTGGGAGCATGAAGATACTACCTCTCCCTGCAACCTTGCCTCTGTAAGATAAAAATAAGTCCTTCATTCATGTCCTGTCTTGTCCTACTCTTTCAATTACAAACCTGTCTACCTCTGGCAAGGTATTGCTATTGTTTACAATATAGTATTAGCCTTCTCTGCAATCAGTACCAGCTGTATGAACCACAGTGCTACTAAGAGCTTACCACCAGTCAGAGCTTGTGGAGGAATGGCTTAAGGAACAGGGACACTTCACACACCCCTGCCCAAGAAACCTTGCATATTGAAGCAGAGAGCAAAACCAGAGTGCAGCAAAGAGTAGTATGTGTCCTGTGGAGGTGATTTTAGGTAAATCTGACATCAAGCCAAATGGATTGAAAAAAGAAAAATATAATCATAAACATTGACTTAATGTATGTTACTATTCAATCTGCAGCTTAAAAAACAATTTCCTGTCAGTTTGATGACATTTTCTTTTTCTCTTATCCTACAAAGTTTAACAGACAAAGCCTTCCAGCTTTGCTGTCCAAATTTTTGCCTACCTATAGTCAAAGTGTTGACTATACCTCAGTTTCAGCTTCTGAGAAGAGTTACCCCAAATAAATGAAATTTGGTCAGTACAGACACAGCACATCTGTTGAAGATGAGTTTTTCAACTCACTTGATTAAGATTTCACAAATGAGGGTAAAGAAGTATTTTATTTCAATTTTTGAATTGTTTAGTATAGTACAGAAAATGAAAAATGTTCATCTATTTTTAGAATTTTTTAGAATTTTTATGTTTACTTAGCTCTGTAACAGAAAAGGGTGATGTTTTACTCATTACCTGTTTCATTTCAAAATCCTTCTGTAGGTTAACCACAAGGAATACAATATAAGGGAAAGCATTTCCTTTCAGTATTCCTCTCTTATGACTAATATTTAAGGACTAATTGGAAGTTTTAATCAAATCCCAAGTTAAAATTTTATTTGGTAATTGTATAAACTAGTAATTGTAAAAACTAATGACCAAACCAATTATTCTTATCACAACTACTTCAGTGCTGTTTTTAATGTAAACCTTAATGCAACTGGAAATATAACATGTCTGTGTATAAGCAGCATCACCAATACTTTACTAGGTAATAAAAATACCTGCCCACTGCTGGCCCTCTACCAATACAGGTAAAAGTTCTGTGAAACTGGAAAACATACCACATTTTGACAGCCATCTTGATTTGGAGCTTTTTTATCAGCTGTTTTTATCAGCTTTTTTTTTGCAGCTGTTTCACCACGACTGTGACATAGCTGCTCAAAGCAATGCACATGTGACAAAAGAGGTGTTTTCCTAACTGAACATCAACAAAGGTTCTTGGCTTTCATAACATTTCATTACATTCAAATACATGCAATTTCACTATATTCTGTATTTAACATTCCTAATGTATCTTCATAATACCAAACATTTTATAGCATACAGCTATCAGTTCCTGTGTATCTCTGAAATATGTCCATTATCTGTTAAAAAAATATCATTCACTTCCACAATATGACATTCACCTGTTTTCACCTGTTTTGCTGTTTTCAAGTGAAGGATCATCTTCACTTGATCAGTTCAACCCGATTTTATAGGCTGTTTTTTTTTAAATTATATACATTGTTTTATAATTAATGCATAATCAGGGAGTTATTTCCATCATGTACACATAGAAAGCTATTAAACATATACATTTGATAAAAATAAACATTATCTCCAAATGAATATCAAATGTGAGAGACTTACCACAACTTTTTCTTTATGAGCTTTGACTGTTGCCCCAAACCACTGATTTGTCTTAAATTCAATAGGTTCCCTGGTGCCATTGACTTTGATTTTCCTGTTGTCTGACAAAGAAAGATGCACTATGTTGACAGCTTATATTTAACACAAGTGAACAGATAAACAGATATATTACATTGAATCCACTTGTCATTATCCAGCACATTCAATAGGAAATGGACTTTTTATTATCATTTAATCTTTTCACTGGTCAGCAGAAACCAGCTTAAATTTACACATGAAAATGCAAAATAATTACACTTAAACCTTAGAAAAAATTTACACAGGACTGGAATAAAAAATGCTGTGTTTCCCCCTGGAAGAAAAAAAAAAAAAAGTTTACTTGGAATTTGTGATGAAGAATGGACAAGAATCTACAAAAATAGGTGAAAAGCCCTAAAAAGTTTTCTCAGATGTGGTAGAAACTTTCCATGTAAAAAGCATGTTCCATAATTAGTTTTTGTCAAACAAATGACATTTCTCAGCACGCTTATTCAAAGACCAACACTACAGATAGCAAAGGACTTAGTTTTTAACAGAATTACATGTGTACACACTGTCACAAGAGACAGCTTCCTAATGTTGCTTTACATACACTCTTGCAGATGTCAACACAAGAGAAGCCATCTGGGCAAAGATTCAGGCCAATTACAATGCATTTCAGGTTTTAATAAAAAGCAGACATCCCTTCCCTTCACCCTCACTTCTCTGAAGTAAACTGATTTCCCATATGTTCATGAGCTATGCTCTTTCCTTACCAGTCATTCCTAATGAACTTTTCAATTTATAAATAAGCAGGGCATTACTCCTACCCCCTTGTATCTGCATTCCCTTATGTTTGTTTCTGGTTCCTATCATGAGGGATTTCAGAAGAATCAATCCTTTTTAGTCACTCTAAGTGAAAATAAAACCACATACTGTATACCTTGGAATGTTAATAAAAAGTAGTATCAGATCATATTCTAAGGATTTACATACATTTTTAAATAACTGAGAAAAAACACTGCCAACTTTTTAAAAAGTCAACACTCCTTAGGATTTACCCAGAGGGAATACAGCAGATACCTGAATGTTTTCTAGGATGTTAGTTCACCACCGACTTCAGCTTATGGTAACTTCATAAATGTTAGAAACTGAATTAGAAAGAAAAATGCATCATATTTGGAAAACAAGGGTATTCTTATCTCTGTATTTTTTCCTAATAAGCATGAAGGAAAGTTGAATGAGAATTAATGTTTTAAAGATTAAAAGCCTCTAAGGAAACATCATCCTTCATACAAGTATTTGCTTCTGTGCTGCACCAATTACAGCAGCTACTGTTGAAGTTTATGCTTAGAGAGATAAATTTCAGGAATATTTAGCTCTTAAAAATTCAGGAAGTATAATTTAAAATTACTCTAAAAATATCAATTTTAAAACAGCATTTTACTGAAGTTAGGCCTAAACTTGTGTGGATGTGAGAGACAGCATATTTGACACACCGCAAGGTAGGCGCTGCCAGCTCCTACCTAGTGTTGGCAACACTACTTTCAATTATTTTTTCCAGTGAAGTCAGACCCTTTCAGACTTTAAAGGTTTCTTTTTTCTTTTTTTAATGCTCCAGCAGATCTTAATATGATCAATGTACACAGATGGGATCTTGATAGAAACAAAGCTTTGCAAGCTTGAAAATCAGCCATGGCCAGCTTTACAGCAGCCAATGCTGTAGAGCATTGCTCTGGCTGCTGTAGAGCAGCCTGGCTCTGAGGATACTCATGGCCAGTATTCTAACTTTAAAGAAGCTTACATTTTCAATCAAAAGAACATACTTGTCTATTGGCAAAGTACACCAACATTGAAAAGAAGTTAAATTTTAAAACTTGGACAACCGTATGCAGGGTTATCAAACCACAGCTGAATTTACCAGTAAATCTGCAAGAACTGTACATACACACACACACATAATCCCACCTCATTTAGTGGCATGCACTGTAGTAGGAATCCTTCATCATGTGGCATGGGATTTTCATCATAACATAATTTGAAAAATACCATAGACACACAAATTAACAAATAGGGTTGTTTTTTTTCCCTAGATAAATCTCTTCTGGTAGAAATTTTCTAATCACTTTTGTTCAGAACTCTTGCTAGAGCTATGGAGTCATACTCACAATTTCTGAGGTTGTGCCTTAAAATACAGTTAGTCTTTTGTATGTAATAACTAATCAGAATTTCAGAATGCAATAAAACATCTACTGCTTTTCATGTAACTTTGGCAAAATAAAGCAACATACACAACTAACTTGTCTGAATATACACAAGCTGTCATTGCTGTGCCCTGCTGCAATTGTCCACTTCTGAGCTAGTCACCCACTTACATCTGAGGACACGATCTAAGCCAGCTCTTTTCCCCCTAAAGCAGAACTCTAAGGTCAGAAGAATCATGGCCTAAAAGTACCTAAAGTAACATTTATTTTTTTTTTTAAACCAACTGTAAGTAGCCATAGATGACCATCTTAGATTAGACTCAGACAAAGACTATTCATTTGCCCAGATAAATCCCAATCCAGTTTGGAAAAAAAAACAACTGTATATTCCTCAAAGCAGCATTATCTATGAATTTCAAAAAGTAGCATGTCTGTACTCTGACAACACCATTATATGACAGGGAAATACCTCTCCTTGTGCTATTTATGGGAATCTGAGGCCCACAGGCTAAGTCTATACTGTACCATACTCACAGCTCTGTTTTTGTGAGGAGCAAAATCTTGGTGGGAATTCAGGTTGCATTCACATATCCTCTTCTGGAGGAGAAAGCCTGGCCCCTTTTAGGAAGGAGTCCAGGCTATCTTGTATCATGATATGTGACACTAGTGCAAGGATAGCAAGAATACAAAGCAGCAGCTGGGCTGGGCACACAACGCCTGAGACTGTCCACAGAGAGGTCCAAGGGATGCCTGAGTACCATCTGGATTGCTTCAGAGCCAGCCCTGGAGCTGTTCCAGATGGTCAAATCTGGATGACTCGCAAATTTGGCTTGAGACGCAGCTCTGGAGTCACTCATAATGATACTCCCTAAGACTGTGTTGCAGACTAAGGCCCAGATAACCAGGAGTATGCAAAGAGAAGAGAGATTTATAAATTTAAATTTAGGTATGAGGACATCCTCATACCATTTCAGCTAACCAAAAGCACCCCATTTTCTACTGCAGGAGCCATGACTCCTATACATGGTACTGCCCTACAATCCAGCTTCAGAAGCAGCTCTGGAGGTACAGAAACATGATTACTAAAACCAGCATTCTTTGACCCAGTTTTAGCAAACCTTTGTTAAGAGCAATAGCACAGATTCACTTGTAGGAATTAAAGTCTGAATCTAGAACAAGTGTTAGTGCAAATCCATCATTTACACACATTAGCGTAAATCTGGTGCTTTCTATGGGAATTGGTCTCCCCTCAGTCACTAATTCAGCACATTATAAACAGCTTAATAGGCATGAAACAAATATTTCCCTTACTAATTTTTTTTTAATGCTAATTCATATCTGCATAAGAGATGTATGGGTAAACACTGGTAGTTACTTAGTGTGATTCATTCAGCTTTTGAAAACTGTAAGTAAAAATGCAGCATCTTTTATAATTTAAAAACACTCAAATGAACAAAAGCAAATCAAGGTGGTAATCATTCAAAGGCTGGACTCCATGATCTTAGACATTTTTCCCAATCTAAATGATTCTATAATTCTGTGAAATTATTTTAATCAAACTTAACACAGGAAAACAATGCTTCTAGTCAAAGCAAAATATCTGTCTATGTAATACACCTGCATCTCTTTCACATAACTTTTCATCATTGGAATTTTGAAAACTATTGTGTCTAAATGTTCTGGACCTATTTGCCTGTATGTCCTTGATGAACACAGATGCCCATTAATCAGGCATCTGCAGCAAGTTCAGCTACACCCTGCCCTCACATCTGTGCCTATATCCATGATGGCAAATCCCTTTTAAATACCTATTTTGATATATCTGTGTATGTATCTATGCACATGCATCATATTAAAAATATAGGCAAAATGCAATATGTAGATTTCATATATTTGTACATAATTGTATATACACAGATGTGAACAATTACCTAAATCTATCCATATTTGTATAAAATGTGACTACGAACATATAAAACAAATAATTCTATAAATTTATACAGGTAAAGGAATGTGAATATCCCTGACATGGAGCCAACACTTGGAATGTTACGTACAGTTTTGATACATCACTACTTGCAGGTGTTTGGCCCAAAAAAGAGAAAGCAAAGGATGATCTATTTGTGCTTCATCCAATAGGATGAAGTTCAATAGGTAGAGAGAAAAGAGTGCCAAACTCCCATTTGAGGTATGCAGCAAAAGAAAAAAGGGCAACAAGACACAAGTTGCAGCAAGGGAATTTCTGAATAAATCTTAAGCACTAGAAGAGATTCCTCAGAGAGGCTGTGGCTCTTGTCTTCTGGGGTGGTTTCAGAAGCTGGCTACAAAAGACTCTGAGCAACCTCAGTTAACTTTGAAAGCAGCTCTGCTGCATCATTAGTGTTTTGGCTTACAGAAGGGAAGAGGGAAAGTTCCTGGCATACTTGCTCCCATATTCTAGAACTGAGGGAAACGGAATCTTGACAATCCTTCCACCATATCACTCCCTTAAGAGTCTGATGATACCACTCCTTACAAAGCAAAGGTAACTCAGTGACTTTCACAGCGTCATTGATATTAGACCCTCACCAGAGAGACTGAATTCAAATGCAAAGCTAAACACCAGGCATGATCTAGCAAACTAAGCCAAACAATTGCTTTTAATTAATTAATGCTGGGGGAAAAAAGGGACTCTGAAATGTTGAGAAATAGTAAGGATATGCAAAATGCTGTCATGATGAGTAGAGTTGTTTCTATATTTAGATTTATCTGGTTCTGCAACCGTCTATTATATATCTGGTTTTTACTGCAGCTTAGCTGCTATTCATATGAGTCATTTTAATTTAATAGATCATATCTAGGGAACTTCACTTGGACATTCCATGAATCAAAATAAAAAT